ATTTAATTAACTATAAGGGCTTGCCTTTATAGAAAACTTTCAAAAACCCAGTTTAATATAAATCTTATTTAATTTTTCATATTAAATAGGGGAATGTCATAAATTCTTTAGTTTATTTAATTGAGCCATTACCAGTAAGTAGTGTATTTATCCTTCAGGATAAATGCATTACTTGCGATATTAAGCTAGTTTATTTAAACTACTGAGGATATGAGATCGGTCGATCTTGTATTTTCAAAATTTAAAATACTACTTTTTCCCAAATTATATATATATATATATATATTAAATTAAACCGGGCATCAGGATATCCATTCCGGCGACTGACAATTTTCAATTTGGCGACCGACATCCACCTTCTATTGTTTCCTTCATGTGTATTATGTCTTTTAGAATAAAATGACAGATATATATATATATATATATATGAATCAAATTAAACCGGGCGTCGGGATATCTATTCCGTCAACCGATAACGTCCAATTTGATAACCGACAACTTCCAATTTGGCGACCGATATTATCACACCCAATTCTATAACATTCATCATCTTTACCTTTTATAGGGTATTTCATTGATTTGAAAATATTAAATGTAATTATTTAATCATTAATGGGCACAGTTAATTCCCTTTTCTGCACATCTATCAGTGCTCTTCCTGTAGCTAGAAATGGTCTCCCCAAAATGATAGGTATCTCCTTATCTTTTTCCATACAAAACACAATGAAATTAATATAAAAGTTAAATTGAGTCATCTTTTATAACTCCTTTAGGATATGTTATTGAACGATCTGCTAATTGCAGAGTTATAGTAGTATGGGATATTTCTCCAAATCCCAATTTTTTAAATATTGATAATGACATAAGGTTAATGCTTGCACCTAAATAACATAAGGCTTTCCATAAAATTTATCTCCTATTGCACATAGAATTGTGGAGCTACCAGGATCTTTAAGCTTTTCAGGAAACTTTTTTTGAATTATAGCACTACACTCCTCACTAAGTGCAACCGTCTCATTATCTTTGAACTTCCTTTTCCTGTTAAGAATATCCTTCATAAACTTCACATAGCTTGGCATTCGTTCCAAGGCTTCAAAAAATGGAATATTAATTGTAATATTCTTAAAGATTTCCATAAATTTTGAAAATTGCTTATCCAACTTTGGTTGATAAAGTTTCTGGGGAAATGGAAGTGGTGGTTTTCTATGTCAATTTTAAGTGGAGAAATAAGTCTCTCTAAACCTTTCAGAGTGCCCTCTTCAGACTCTTCAATTTATTTTCTCTATACTTCAGTCTCTTTTTGAACTCTACCTTCCAATTCTCTTATGTTTCTAAGTTAAACGGCTTTTACTTTCTCTTTATTCTGATCTTTTGGATTTACTTCTGTATTACTAGAAAGTGTTCCTTGGGATATATTACTTAATGAATTTGCTATTTGTCCTAATTGATTCTCAATATTTCTAATTATAGCTCATTAACTTTGTAACTGATTTCCCATTTGTGACACTACTTCTTCTATAGACAACTTTTTTTCCTTGAATTGTAGATTAATGTTAAAACCTGAATGAAAAGTAGGTCAATAATTATTATTCCCTTAGTTGTTCCAGTTTCCCAATGAGTTTACTTGATTATTCCCCCATTGCTCCCCATTGCTGATTATTACCACCATTATTACCACCAGAAGTATTATTCCATTTAAAGTTAGGATGGTTCTTCCAATCTGGGTTATAATAGTTTGAATATGGGTTATTCAACTTGTTATTTATGACATTCAAAGTTTTTGATCAAGCTTGAGAATCTACTATTTGGCCTAATGAATTATTTTCAATCATTGCAATTGGTTAAGAAAAATTCATTCTAAATTGGTCCAATTTTCTTAAAATTGCAGCAACTTAATTTGCTAACATTGCAAAGCATCAGATTCATGAATATTGGCTACTTTATTAGGATTTACCCTTTTAGAAGGCCATTGAAAATTATTAATAGTTATCTCTTCAATTAAAGCATAAGCATCATGAAATGATTTTGACATCAATGAACCATCAGCAACGACATCAATAATAGATCTAAGAGATCCAGCTAATCAATTGTAAAAAGTTTGAATTATTAACCAATATGGTATATTATGGTGTGGAAAATTCCTCAGTAGCTCTTTAAATCGTTCTCATGCTTCATAAATAGATTCCCCTTCAAACTAACAAAAAGATGTAATATCATTTCTAAACTTCACAGTTTTTTATGGTGGAAAATATTTAGCAATGAATTTATGCGCTAAATCACCCCAAGTCATGATAGAACCAGGTGCTAACAAATGTAACCATATCTTAGCCTTATCTCTCGGTGAGAAAGGAAAAAGTTGTCTTATAGCATCATCTGATACTCCATCATATTTAAATGTAGCACACAATTCTACAAAATTGGTAAGATGTAAATTTGGATCTTCGGTTGGTGCTCCCTCAACTTGTTTATTTGATACCATCTGAATAATAACAGGTTTAAGTTCAAATGAATTAGCTACTACAACGGGATACTACAATGAAGTTCATCCACCGTAGGGTTTGCTAATCTCTTAAAGGTCTAAACTCTTGATTAATTTCAGCATTTTGATTATTTTGATTTTCCATTTCTTGAAATTTTTAATTTTTTCAGTAATTTTAAGTTTTTAATTTTTTAAATAGTTCCTTCTAATTCAGAATCGTAGGGCAATAATTCTGTAGAACCTGAACTACGCATACATTACTATAAAACACATAGAAACACACAAACAATAATTTTATATAAAAAATAACACTACAATATCCCTATAATAAATCTAAAGTTTAAATAAGACTTTATAAAAATAGAAATTTGCTTTCTAAAAATTTCTTCAAAAAATTTATATAATTTCTATTGTTTTTTCACTAGCAATGGGGCCAAAAACTTGATCCCAACTTTTTATATATTAATGCGATGTATATAATTATTTTCTTAATTTTCTTTACTTATAATTATTACTTTGCAATGATGCCAAAAACTTGATCACCAGCAACAGCTAGACAAAAACTTGACTTCGAAGCAAATAAGAATACAATTATTATATTTCAATATGGGATATCACGCAAGTATATGTACCGTTATCAGGTAATATAGGACTTTTTGATTAAGCCCAAATACTGAACCCACAAAGAGAACTACAATATGCAACTACAAATCAGAAGAAATTAAATAACAAATTCTACTCAGCAAAATATTCTTACCGAACTTTAGATTATATAATAGGAATGAAAGTTCGATTCTCTTTGTAATTTTTTATAATTGAAAATAAAATAAATAACTAACTAAACTTAACTAGATACTTATAAAATGAAGGTAATAAAAACAAAATATTTTTTTCCTTATCATGAATCAATAATAAGTATATGAATTTTGCTGTGGAAGTATTCAAATTGTGTTGTGTCAAATAGGAGCAATAATATTTTTTACCCTTACTAGAGATGCAATAAAGAACATTGGCTAATTTAAAGTTTGAATAGTCTTGAAGATGAGTTAGGTAGGGAAGATACTAGCTCTTACTCTAGAGTTCCCTATCCTCCCTCTACCTTGGGGCTAACATCTCGTATCTCAATCATATGAATTATATTCTCATCCATACAATTTCATGTGATTCTTATTATTTGTTGACTTGAGACAATACCATCTAGGATCTTACATATTCTCACAACAGGTATTAACATCTTAATTGGTTAAATCAAGAAGTAAATGGAATACGAGGATTAAAATCATCACAACTTCTTCCAAAATTAAAGATTAATACTTCACACAAATTCCATTCAATACTTAATCACTTATCATTTTAAGGAAAAATATAAAGAAAACTACTTAGAATTCATGGAGAAAACACAATCACACATAAGTTTGAAAGTATAAATCATGCAAACAAACAAGAAGTCTAAATTAAAATCAAATGTAGTCATAAAGATAAAAATTTATCCCAAATCCTCTCCACCAAAGTCTTGAAGTTCCTTTGAATCTCTTCTTTCACTTAAAATACAAACTACAACTTAAAATAAAAAAAGTGGGTGGCGGCGGCGTATGGGTGTTGGCTCTAGATGGATGGATGGGGGGGAGGGGGTTCTTCTTTAATTCAAGTCTTCTTTCTTCTTTTATAATTTTTCAAAAGGTGCTTTGGTGTCTCTTCAAAAAGTGTCCACATTCAATGAATTTTCTAGAAGTTACTTCTTTCAAAAGCCAATTGAATGAATTTTCGTATCCATTAACTATTTCTCACGTTTTCACCAGGGGTTGCTTCAAACGCCTCTTAAATAATTCGTTCAAATTCATTGAATCATCAAGTAACTACTTCTGGCACTTAAGCGCGGGGTACTGAGCGCGTAGGCACGACTCTCTCTATTTCACCGGCGTGTAAGCGCCAATCCTGGGTGCTTAGGCGCCTTACTTCAGTTTCACACCTTCTTCATTTTTGCTCCAAATTTGATCATATTTCACTTCTTTCACCATTTTTCATCCATTTGATTGTACCTTAAAGAAAAACACACAAACATCTTTTATTAAATTGCAACATCTAAAAAATTAGGTATAAAAATGTGTACATAAAGACTATAAATTTTAGGTGTATCAGGTATCACTTGATTTTTGTCTTAATGAGCTATCATCTAGTAGCTTGTGTACACATATACATCAAATTATGTGGGTTTATGTTGGTGTAACATTTGATATCTGATGGTCCACCTTTGATCATATTTGTTCCCGTCCTTAAAATTTCTTCGAGATTCTAAGTACTATGTGTATATGCAAATAATTCTTGATATGAGAACGTGTTCGAAAAATCAGTTAATTCGTCGTCTTAAATATTAGAAGTACACAAAAAAAATCAAATGACTAGGACTTTTGTTCTTTCAAAGGTATGTATTTCTTGTTGAGCGCAAATTTGGACTAAATAATTGCATATAGATTCCATATTTCGTATATCTTCACTATGCGAAAGATTGATCAATTCACCTATATATGCTGGAAATTCAAACGTAAGAATCAGTTTTTCATTTGAGGAGAAGAATTTCTCGGCATCACATTGAATGAAGCATATAATAATACTACATTTCTTGCTAATCTAAGAATTAAACTTCGCAGACCGAACAAGGAATGCAGTAGCACTCACCGAAAAGTACCTTTCTTGCCCGGAAACCTTTCTTCCCCTGAATCTTCACCATGAAATGTTCTTTCTCCTCCTTTCCTGCTTTCTCCCAGTCCCGTCATGAAAGCCAAAGAAGCCCCGCCGAACAATGCAAAAAACCTATAAAATTCCCCTCTATCCATTCCCACTACATCCAAGGCTTTTAATTTCGTCAGCTCTTTCTGTCGGTTCAAGGCTGAAGCTTAGAAAATGGCGGCCTCGCTTAGCTTCAAGAGATCCGATAGCGTCGCCGAGAGCATGCCAGAGGCTCTCAGGCAGAGCAGATACCAGATGAAGCGTTGCTTTGCAAGGTATTTCAATCATTACCTGCATTCATATCAGATGTTTCTGTAACAAAAGTTCAATTTGATTCATTATATTGTTGATTGGTTAGTTACGTCTCCAAGGGGAAGAGACTGATGAAAAACCAGCAGGTGTTGGAGGAGCTAGAGAAATCAATGGATGACAAGGTTGAAAAGACTAAGCTCATGGAAGGTCTACTTGGCTACATCATTTTCTCCACCCAGGTTCTGTGCTGAGTCTAAAGATTCTTAATTTTCTTTGGAAATTGAGCAGTAGAAACTGATACATATATTGTTTCCTGCAATTTCAAAGGAGGCGGTGGTTCTACCGCCATTTATGGCGTTTGCAGTTAGGCCTCATCCAGGCATCTGGGAGTATGTGAAGGTGAACTCGAATGACTTGTCCGTTGATGGAATAACAGCTGCTGAATACTTGAAGTTAAAAGAACTGATTTTTGACGAGAAATGGTATCAAAGCTACACCAATGGCGTTTTGATTGTTCCATTTCGTTCCCTTCAACCCATCAAACTTAAATGTCTGCAGGGCAATGGATGATAATGCACTGGAAGTAGATTTTGGAGCATTTGATCAATCAACACCTCACCTCACATTGCCCTCATCTATAGGAAATGGTACACAGTTCTTGGCAAGATTCTTATCATCCAAACTCAATGAGAATTCTGAAAGCATGAAGCCATTGCTGGACTATTTGCTAGCTCTGAATTACCGGGGAGAAGTAAGAAATCAGAATGCTGAGTAGGGCTGTGATTAGTTGTCTGAGGATGCTAATGGAATTTTAAACTGCAGAATCTTATGATCAATAGCACAATCAACACTGTGAACAAGCTTCAGACGGCGCTTCTTTTGGGGAAAGCTGATGTTCTTGGCTTGCCAGATACTGGTGGTCAGGTATAGTCCCTTTTTCAATAATAGAACAGTTCTGTTGTTACTTTATTCAAGTTCCATCAAAGCTAAAACACTGTTTCTTTGTTACTTAGGTGGTATACATTTTAGACCAAGTTAGAGTGATTGAGGAAGAATTGCTGCTTAGGATTAAACAACAAGGGCTATCAATAAAACCACGGATTCTTGTGGTCACAAGACTAATACCTGAATCAAAGGGAACTAAGTGCAATCAGGAGCTTGAGCCAATTCTAGGCACACAGCATTCTCATATACTTCGTGTACCTTTCATGACAGAAAATGGTGTTCTAAAGAACTGGGTATCCCGGTTTGATATATACCCTTATCTGGAGAGATATGCTCAAGTATGTAATTCTGATCAGTATAAAGCCCACAGACATTCTTTTTATGCTCGTGATATTTATTGATTGATTTGATGAATGCAAATTTGATTTTTGGAAATCAGGATGCTTCTGAGAAGATTCTAGACCACTTGGAAGGAAAGCCGGATCTGATAATTGGAAACTACACTGATGGTAACTTGGTTGCTTCTCTCATGGCAAGTAAGCTTGGAATAACTCAGGTAATATATGATTAATATTAAGCAGTCGTCTTCAGTAACAGCTCTTAATCATTTCTGCATTTAACGGAAAAACTTATTCCAACCTACTTATCATTCTTTCCTTCTTCAAAATAGGAATTTCTATCCCTCAATTCATCTCACTTTAACTTATTAAAGTTAATTCTGAGATGTATCTCATGCGTAACAACAAAAAGTTTTATCTTGACAAGCCTATATGTCAAGGTACTTTGTATATGCTGAACGATAATGAAGGGTAACTTGTTTATGAGTTAATCTATTGGTTCTTATAATAAAAATTTTTATATTTTTTATAATATTCTTATTGAAGCATGTTGCTTCTAACATATACAAATTAATTACAAAAGAAAAGAAAATTCAAACAAATATAAGAGCATTAGAAGTTTGTCATAGTTGCAATCTTGTAATTGCTTAATAGCACAAACAAGTAATCTGAAATGATCTTTCACAACCAGGGAACAATTGCACATGCTCTCGAGAAAACTAAGTATGAGGATTCAGACATCAAATGGAAGCAATTAGACCAAAAGTATCACTTCTCATGTCAATTCACCGCTGACATCATTGCCATGAATTCTGCTGATTTCATTATCACGAGCACCTACCAAGAAATAGCTGGAAGGTTGCTTGATGAATATTTATTTATTTTCAGCTTTTCATGAGTAAATGAGTTTAATCAAAAACCAAAACTCTCTGCTCTTGCAGTAAAGACAGACCAGGCCAATATGAGAGCCATAATGCATTCACTCTTCCTGGACTATGTCGATTCATTTCAGGCATCAATGTCTTCAATCCCAAGTTCAACATAGCATCCCCAGGAGCAGACCAATCAGTTTACTTCCCACACTCACAGAAGCAAAAACGCTTAACCAACTTCCATCCTGCTATTGAAGAACTGCTATATAGCCAAACGGAAAATGATGAGCATATGTAAGCCGTTCTCTGAAAAAACATGGTTGAAATTTAAATTGTTTTCTTAAAAGGATGTTACATGATCTCCATGGATGCAGTGGATATCTGACTGATAGGAAGAAACCAATCATTTTCTCAATGGCAAGACTAGACACAGTGAAGAACATAAGTGGGTTGACTGAGTGGTATGGCAAGAACAAGAGATTAAGGGAACTTGCAAACCTTGTTGTGGTCGCAGGCTTGTTGGACACCTCAAAATCCAAGGATAGAGAAGAGATAAATGAGATAAAGAAGATGCATTCCTTGATTGAGAAGTACCAACTGAAAGGTCATTTCAGATGGATAGCAGCACAGACTGATCGGTATAGAAACGGTGAGCTATATCGTTGTATTGCTGATAGCAGAGGAGTTTTTGTGCAGGTTTAGTCTATTCTTCTTTCTCTTTGTTAATCACATCCAGATTGGAATATAATTAAGTTAAATCTAAGCGTGCAATCTGTTATGTACTATGGCAGCCTGCTCTTTATGAAGCATTTGGGCTCACAGTCATAGAAGCAATGAACTGTGGTCTACCAACCTTTGCAACTAACCAGGGAGGCCCTGCTGAGATTGTCATCGATGGCATTTCTGGATTCCACATTAATCCAAATAATGGAGAAGAATCGAGCAATAAAATAGCAGATTTTTTTGAGAAATGCAAGGAGGATAGCAGTTACTGGCACAAGTACTCGACGGCCGGACTCGTGAGAATATATGAAAGGTAGACCCCTGTAAACTCCATAACATATCATTATGTCAATCTTGTCATGACAAAATTTATTGGCAGCTACACCTGGAAGATATATGCCAACAAAGCACTAAATATGGGATCCATATATGGCTTCTGGAAACAGCTGAACAAGGAAGAGAAGCTTGCAAAACAAAGATACATCCAAATGTTCTACACTCTCCACTTCAGAAGTTTGGTTAGATAATACCTTCCCAATGTTTGGCTAAACTGATAAATGCTTAATTTATCGCAAATTTGTGGAAAAAATATTGCATTGCAGGTGAGAATCATGCAGTCATCAAGCACAGTAGCATCCCAACTGGAAAGCTCGGTGCCGCAGAAGATATTCAATGTGATTCCTCAGCCTCGACGTCAGCCACCCCCTCAGAGGCAAGTGTGCGTACTCCTTAGAGTGTTGCAAGCAATTATGTACCTATTCTATAGCATTGTGGAAAAGCTTTACAGACTTGTACTAAGGCTAGCCAGAAGAGGAAGAAATTAACAGTTGCTTGTTGCAATGGTAACAGGAAGGCAGAGTCAAGGATACAAAGGTGAGATATCTTATGGAATTTAGCATCATTCGCGTCAAGAAGGCAGACCGACATCTGAAGTTATCGTTTGCAGAATCTTTTTTTTTTCTTATATACATATGTTAGAAATATTAGAGGGAATCATTGTTTGTGAGTTAATTTCCAATGCCACATGGTTCAGGGCCATAACAGAATTCTTCCATAAGAGGGCGCCACCAGAAAAGCCAACAGGACGTAAATTATGAGCAGATGGGGAGACTAGTTTTCAGTGTGAATCTGCCGAAGTATATTGTGCAAAATATTTTCTTTTTTATTAATTACTTGATTGTCTTTGTAAATGAATAAGTAAATTTGTTCAACACATTGTTATTATTTTAATGATGAAAAGGGCGTTTAAAGAAAATTAATTCCTAAAAATCAAGCGTCTTTTGGAGTGATTGTGTGAATTTCATTAGGAATTCTAAATTTAGTTGTGTTTGTAAAGGAGCACTCTTGGGATCTCCTAGGAATTTATGATAATTGGACAAAACCATAAGTATAATAGGTTGAAGCGAACAATATCTGAATGACTGAGTGTTCAAGTTATTATAAATGATTTCAGAGCATTAAACTTGAAGATGGAAACTAACTGCTATATAAAATAAAGTGTTATACCATGAAAGCCACGTCTTGAACACTAGATGGGACAATCTCCTTTATGGTGGGAACAACCTTTTGAATGTGTAGGCTATCCCTAGAATCCTATATGTGAATAATTCTAGGCTAATAATATTATGAGGACTTATATCAATTATTTGAGTGAGGAATATTGTGAAATCAGTTGAGTAGAAAAAAGTTGAAATCTTAAATATCAAAGGTACTATTATAACTTTAAAAAATTTATTTCAATTATAAAGTTAAACTCTAAACGTATGAAGCACTCTCAAGATAGGTAACTCCTGCTATTTAATATAGATGTTAAAATTTTATTTCAATTCTAAAGTTAAGCTCCAAATGTATGAAGCACTCTCAAGATAGGTGAATTCCTAAGAATTTATACCAATGGAACAACATTATGAGGGCATTAAATAAAAGTGTATAATAATCTTATGAGGACATTAAATCAAAGTGTATAATATCTCACAATTATTCCGTTCTATTTAACGAATGCAAATAATTATAATTTTTTCTACATTGGACTAAATTGTTCGGGAACCTTTCACACTGAAAACTTCATATTAATCTTTATGTATTTGTCTACACTGTTGGGGACCATAAACTAGAGTTTTAAAATTTCTTTGACTTGAGATCAAATACAATATCAAGAAATAGTATATTACTTCAAGGGATGAAAATATTACCATACAACAGATCCAATCCCAAAGTGATTCACTACAGAAAAGCGTAGCTCTAATCGATGGCAAAACCAACGGCTTGTTGTGTGTCAAAAATGTCGAGCTAATTTTTGACGACTTAACAACGGATAATCAGCTAGGTAATTTTCAACGGCATAACTACTGCAAAATTTGTCGCTTTTGCATGGGAAAATGTTTTAACGGCTTATTTAGAGTTACCGACCTTGTATACCACTGGTTACTCTCTATATAAAAACAGTCAGACTATGGTCGTTAATAATTAAAAGAGTCATTCTTCCTGGGAGAGGAGCCGACGAATTCTATTTTTTGCTAACCAACAGCTTTTAACGCTGATTATGATGTTACAAATCGACGGATATTAAACCGTAGTTATGCCGTCGGAAAGCACCTTTATTGTCAACTCTGCGCCGAAAACTCTCATTTCCCCTTTCTTTCGTGCTTCCTCCTCCCTCTTTCAATTTCACACAAACTCTCAAAGCACTAGCTTATCTCACTCCTCTCTAGGAGTCGCCCAAAACCATCATTTTTGCGAGGCAACATTCACTATACAATCGCCATTAGAGCTAGCTCGGAAGATAAAGACAGGATCGCTGCTAACAGAGACCACCAAAATTATTATCTTTCTCAACCTTCCACTCTGCTCCTACCAAAACCCTTGAGGAAGGTAAGCTTGTTCCTGCCATTCTTTCTGTTCATTCGTCCTTGATTTACTAAATTTGTTGATTCACAAGATTTAGTGAAACTTGAATTTATCAAAAATTAGTGTCAGTTTTGGATGTACGGGAGCTCAAGATTTACAAAGGCATTGTTTGTCGTTTGGCAGGATTTAGCTTAAATCCTGCATAAATCCTAATTAAAACGGGCTACCAAACAACCCAAAGAAAATCTTTGCTTGAAACCCTAAGTCATCCTCCTCCCTCTCCCAGTTTTGACCCATTCTTAATAATACAATCATCATTAGAGACGAAGGAGGAGAAGATTTTGTAGAATGGAAAAATAACCAATGAACACCTAGAAAAAATTTGATGTATCACAATGAATGACGTTTTCTTGGAGAAAATAAATTATCAATTCCAAAAAACAATTACAAACCACACATTATTATAGTTCCAAAATTTGCCTCTGAGATAAATAACATAGGCAAAAACCTAAGACTACACTCATACCCTATGATTAGTCTAGTATGGAAGCCCTAGCTTAGTTACTCCACAAAGTTCTATTTCAATCTAAATCGAATTTTATTCTAACTTCAGAGACGCTATTTCAAACTTGATTTCCAAGTCCCAAATTCTAAGACACCAGCTTCAAACTCAATCCAAATTCTAATCTCAAAAGCTAATTCTGATAATAGGATCCTCTTTCCATACATGTCGGGCCCAAACTCTACCATTCTAATGTAGCTTGATCAAGTTGGTCCAAATTCTAGCTCATTTGTCTTTTTAACTCCATACTTCATCCTTTTTAATCCGATTTAGATATCTTCGTATAAATATTTACTGATGACTTGGTGAAATATAATCCATATTCAGAATTGAGAATTTTTTTAGGAGCCTTAACTTCTGAGATGTAATTAACTATGAGGGATCCCTCTCATAGGAAAATCTAGACCACATAATAAAATAAACCTGTCCTACTCTCAGTAAGATAGGGGGAAAACCCTGGTTCCATAGACCCACGAGTCAAAGGAGAACTTCCTCTTCCATGTGATTAGTCTCATTTAAAGGTAACATTTATGTCCCTTGGGATAGTATATTATTCTTTGAATATCGTGCCTAACCTCTTAGATAGAAGTCATCCTCAAACTTTGTGGTGGTCCACATAAAATAAAATTTCCCACACTGCCTTTGGAATTAAGAGTTGGGTAGCTCCCATTCTGAATGAGTCAATAATCTATATGGTCTCCTATATAAGAATACTTAAGTGTTAGAAAAAATAGAAGAAAAGTCTACCAAGTCAAAGAAAACCCTTCTCATTCAAATGATTCACTCAATCTCATACAAACAGAGGGTCTCACCAACAAGCAATTGGACAACAACCTGACTAGTCTCACCGATCAAAGGTAAGGAAAATGCACATTCACATAGCTGAACCCAGATCTCTTATATTTATAAAAAAATATGAAAATTTGTAATATTTTACGTGTAATATATATATTCAAATAAGGATAAAAAATATAATTTTATTAGATACTCCCGAAACATATAAATAGAGAGTCATTTCTACAAAAAAGAACAAGTGTGTTTTCTATATCAAAACTTGTGCTCTTATTCTCTCTATTTCTCTCTATGTTTCTCTATCATGCAAACAATGTTGTGTGCCTTAAGTGTGATCCACAGGGACATATTAGGATCAACACTCATATTTAATCCCACAGCAGTGAGTGCTTTGGGAACTAGGCAATGAGCTCCTTGGGCAATATGTAGCTTGCAACAGATACCTACAATAGTGAATCAGTAGGTGTGGATGATCTACGAATTTAAGAAAAGGGCTTTAGATGCAGCTAAAATATCATTCCTAACCACTATGATAGAAGTCATCCTCAAACTTTGTGGTGGTCCACATAAAATAAAATTTCCCACACCGCCTTTGGAATTAAGAGTTGGGTAGCTCCCATTCTGAATGAGTCAATAATCTATATGGTCTCCTCTACAAGAATACTTAAGTGTTAGAAAAAATAAATGAAAATTCTACCAAGTCAAAGAAAACCCTTCTCATTCAAATGATTCACTCAATCTCATACAAACAGAGGGTCTCACCAACAAGCAATTGGACAACAACCTGACTAGTCTCACCGATCAAAGGTAAGGAAAATGCACATTCACATAGCTGAACCCAGATCTCTTATATTTATAAAAAAATATGAAAATTTGTAATATTTTACGTGTAATATATATATTCAAATAAGGATAAAAAATATAATTTTATTAGATACTCCCGAAACATATAAATAGAGAGTCATTTCTACAAAAAAGAACAAGTGTGTTTTCTATATCAAAACTTGTGCTCTTATTCTCTCTATTTCTCTCTATGTTTCTCTATCATGCAAACAATGTTGTGTACCTTAAGTTTGATCCACATGGACATAATAGGATCAACACTCATATTTAATCCCACAGCAGTGAGTGCTTTGGGAACTAGGCAATGAGCTCCTTGGGCAATATGTAGCTTGCAACAGATACCTACAATAGTGAATCAGTAGGTGTGGATCATCTACGAATTTAAGAAAAGGGCTTTAGATGCAGCTAAAATAGCCCCTAATGACAGCAAAGGGCATTGCTTTGCCGGTGATATAGTGATCAGATGCAGCTAAAATAGCCTTCAATGGCAGTGTAGGGCCTTTCCTTTCCCAGTGATATGGTGATGCCCGGATGGTTGAAGAGTGCTTATTCCATCAGGACAGCGGACACAAATTTGCATCCGAAGTTCACTGAGCACTTGTCATGTGACAAGTGGACCCCATAATAATACACTGATTAGGTAGGTTTTTAGGTAGGTTTTTAGGTGGGTGGGGCCCACTTGTCATGTGACACATGCTCACTGGACTCTGGACGCAAATTTTGAGTCTATTGTCCAAATCGAATAATTTTTCATGGATGAAACACTTGGAGAATGAAGCAGAGGAGAATGGAGCTCGACTTGGCGTAGAGGAGGTTCTTCCTTCTAATTTCTATTAGAAAATAATCAAGGACGGAAGGAAATCAGGCTATGGCTTTGTTAACTTTGAAACAATACACTCAAAGCACAACTCATTAATGGTCTGTTACATTTGTTTAAACTAGTTAAAAAAATAAATTTAAATATTTTTCAAGGAAATTAGAAGTTCAGCTGAAGTGCTTTCTAACTCCATTTATTTACGCTCACAAACAAATTTATCGATATTTTAATACATAATTTATTACA